TGAAATGTATTCATTTGAACTATACAAGGATAGACTGGATTTTCAAAAGGTATTCTGCATAGAAACACAGTGAAATAAACAGAGAACTAAGCTAGAACAGAGAGGAAGGAACTCAGTTCAAGGAAGAGAGTAGAAGCCCCAAACATCACATATATAAGGCTAGTTACAAGAGAGGGACAAATGAAGTGTGACATTCCTTCTCTACTGCCAAAATACAACCTGGGCCTTTCATACCTTAGGTGACTCTGGGGACCTATTCTTGAGTTAAAGACATATTGTTTGTCTGAACATTGGATACATTTTCATCTTTGCAGATGGAAGAAAATGAGATCCTCAGATGGATTTGTTTATGTCAATACATCTGGCAGTGTATATCTGAAATATCCAGAGGATAATTTTACCACTATCAAATGTTCCAGAAACTTGATACTCTGCTAATGACTTCAAGTGACAATGGCACTTAAAAAGATGAAATCTGGAAGAGCATCTGGACCTGACCAAATATATATAGAAAGAAACTGTGCTGGAGGATACACAATTTTAAATGCATTCAGAGACTAATTTTCAAGACATCACCAAAAGGACAACATTCCAAAAGAATATTTGAAAAATCAAAGCTACATAAAAAGAACACCAAAAGAAATAAGGAATGACTGCCAAATTTCTCATACTATAAATATTTTTATAAGGATGGTCTATGTGTCATCAAAGGTATCCTTGAGGAAAATATGAGAAGGGATGCCAGTGATATTATACTAATTGCATTTAAATCTCCGTTTTCACGTAGCATTTACAATGTAGGAGTGGTTTACTACTCCTTAACTCTACTCTGACCCCAAATAAAATGAATATAGCTCTCTTAGACCGAAATATTTTCTAGAGGTAACTCACTTAATTTTTTTAATTTGATTTTTACACATTCATTATTACAGAGTGTACCTGCTGATCATGTTCTGAGATTTGGGGAATACATCTTACTTTGGGAGAATATACTCCTTTATCCAGTAACTATACTGAGAATTTTGCACATTGCAGCAAACTCATTGGGGGGAAGCTGGTGGGTGCTAGAAGGCAATCCCCAAAAACATATTACATGAATGGTTGTGGACACCCACATGGGAGGCCAACTCTGCAATGGAGGTAGATGCCTCATTGGTTGACTCAGTGGCAGTGGGATAAAAGGACAACCCCAGGGCCATGTGCCATAATAGGCCACAAAGAGAGCATCCTTAACTTGGCAATTCCATGTTGACACAAGGCCCTAGAATACCAGGTATTGACTGTATCCTCTCAAGCATATTTAAATAGTATGTCATCAGGGAACCTGAAATTAAAACAAAAGAACAAAGGAAAATCTATTTTTAAAAAAGTGCTTCATTGCATTAGCATTCTTGATGCCAGTGCTTTTAGGGAAATGGGACTGTCCACCACCCATAATTTCCTCAGTAGTTTGTCTTTCATCAAATGATATAGTTTCCTTTTCAAGTGCACTGGGTACCAAAGCTGGAACATCTGTTTCTTTTGTTGATACAGTGAAAACTCACAAGTGCTTAGGCTTTCAGTGAAAATGTTCATGTTTATGCCAGCTGAGTGTGGGCAATTAGTTACATAAGCACCAAGCAGGCTCAGTTTTTGTGTACTTAAGCATGATCAGAACGATTCCACCTACAGGTCTCCCAGCTTTATCTTTTTATCTTTAGCATGCAATTAAGCCTCTGGTGCATCCAGCAAAATGTTTTGTGTGGTAGGGAAGAGAAAATCACAGAACTGCTTAAAATATGTATAATTTAAAATTGCTTAAACCCCCTCATTTACTAGATATGACTAGACAATGAATTTGCTGCTCTTCAGCAACGGGGAACAAATTAAAAGGAAAGGGATAAAGAGAAATGGGAGTAGCAGCAGTAGGGTGAATGTCTGCCAGAGCAATATACATTTAGATTGAACCAGAATACTGGATTAACTGTGTGCCACCATTCCTGCCTGTTGTTAGAAAAAGCCTGAGGACCTTTGGCAGATTAAAAGTTTTGCAATCTAACCATTTTGATTAGGGCCAAGTGTGAATCTGAGAAGGGTGTATAAGTATCTCTGTTAAACAGTTATAAAGAAATTCAGAATTAAGTAAATCATAAAATTTTATTAAAACTCTCACTTTTTTTTGATCTCGAAGCACAGAGTCACACCAAGTTTTTGAGGGTTTAGGATGCTTTAGTTTGCTTAATTTAGAATGTTTTAGTGTCCAAGGGTTAATTATTTTTACTCTCTGGGGTTAGAGAGATAGAAAGGCTATTTAAATTAGAGAAAGTAGTGTTTTGCACAAAATAGGCACTTAATAATTATTTGTTGAATTGGATTAACAGAGATCTGTAGTCCCTTAGTCTAGGCTTTTGCATAAGACTCTCCTCATGGGTGCAAAGAATGATGACTCTAATGCACTGATCCTGGGGGTGGGGGTAGGAGACAGAGGAGAGTTTTGCTGTTTCTGCCCTCCTACTTTGGCTTCTAGAGTGGACTCACTGGATTCCAGGAAAGGTCCCTGGAAGGAGAGAAAGACTTGAGAGGCAGCAAATTATCATCCCCCCCCCATCATCTATTTTTGCCCTTCTTGTTCTCAGACAGCTAAACATTTCTGGAGAAAAAGTACAAAAGTGTTGATGGATTCCATTATTTGTTATAAATTTGTGCTAATTAGCACCCTTAATGCATTCAACATTTTAAAAAGAATCTTATTGACAGCAGTATTCATTTCTTATTGATTCTCAGAGACTTAAGTGAGCCAGGGCAAGTCAGGATTTGTCCTAGGATGGACATTTTGCCTAAGGGCAGAAAATTTGCCTGAGGACAGAATATTTAAGTGACCACTCAGTACTCCCATTCCTCTAAGGAATAAGATGGGGGGTTTTGGTGGAGGGGCATGGGCAGAGTTGTGTCTAGGCACAGATGGTGACCGGCCAATAGAACAGAGAATGAAAGCAGACTTGCTGGAGGAGAAGCTCAATTATATTTCAGGGCTCTCTGGCGGAGGATAAAATAAAAGCTCCTCTGTTTGGTTGTTAAAGCTCCTCATGATCTGGCCGGAACATGTCTTTCCAGCCTCCTTATACATTATTCTTCACTCCACACTCCTATAATAGAGCCAAACTGACATTTCTGTTCTTCACACAGGGCATTCTATCTCCTCTTTGCTCAGACCAACCCCATGTCTATATTAGACTCCCTTCTTCCCTCCCACATCTTGGAATCGTTCACTGCTTTCAAGACAAACACCACTTTATACATCTCTGAAAAACTCCTAATCTGTATGTGAGTGTAGCTTAAGGCAAGAGAGCCAACCCAGAGAGAAATATATGTGTTGCCTTTCTTGATAAAATATAAAATACTTAAGAGTAGCGAGCATTTCATTTTTTTTTTGTCTTTGTGTCTTCCTCTCCAGTAGATGCTTAGTAAATACTTGTTGAATGATTGATTGAGGAATGGTTTCAGTTTAGCAGGGTAACATGGTTACCACCATTGATATCAATGGTCTCCCACCATTGATGGGAGAGGCTTTACACTCTATCATTTGGTGGAGGGAAGGAGATGAGTGCTTAAGGTCTTTCTTGAATACAAACATGGATGTTGATGATGGAGGGCAAAGGTTGGTAGGAGGAAGAGGTTGTTGGACTTTGGCTCCTTCTGCTCCTGTGACTTGAATGAGTCACACATGGCTTCGCTATCATCTAGATAAAAAGAATCATTTAAAATAGGCAGCTACTCACTTCCTTATTTCCACAGCTAATTGCCCAAAAAAATCATATTATTTTCTCTTTCCCTCAATTTCTTTTCTTCCCCTCATTTCTCAACCCATCAAAATCTAACTTTCTATCTCACTATAAAGCTATAAATGTACAACTGTAACAAGGTATCAAAAATCTCTTAATTGCTAAATCTTATCATCTTTTTTTCCTAGTCCTTATTCTTCTTGACTTCTCTGTGATTTTTGATATGGTTGTGCACCACTCATCAATACCTCTAGCCTCTTTGACACAGCTATGTTTTCCTTATCAATCTACTTCGCTGGATTGTCATTCATGTCCTCCCAGAGTTGTAAGCGCCCCCAAGGCTCTGGTCTGGGCCCTCCTTTCTTGGTTATCTCCACAGGTTCCATACGTTCATTTATCAATTCTTTACAAATGACTCCCAGATCTATATATCAAACTCTAATTTTTCTCCTGAGCACCAGCTGTGAATCCTCAATTCCTGTGGACATCTTCAACTGGATGTCCTATAGGCATCTCAAATGAAACATGTCCAAATCAGAATTCATTATTTCCCCCGACTTCCATTTTTCTCATGAGTCCCACCGTCTTTTCAGGCACCCAGGTTTGAAACCCTGGAGTCATCCTCTTTAGTATTTCTCACTGGCTATATTCGATCATTTGTGAAGTCTTTTCTCTATCTTGCACAATATTTCTCCTATATTTCCTCATCTCTCCATTCTCTATGCTGAAACCCCCTTGTTCAGGCTCTCACCTCTAAGCTACACTCTTCTAATACCTTCTTAAGTGGATTTCTAGCTTCCAGTTTCTCTTTTCTCCAATCTGTCCTCCACACTTCTGCCACAGTAGAGATAGGACTTTAAACCAGGTCTTCCTGATTTTGTGTCTAATTCTCTATCCACCATTATCTTCCATCCCTCCTTAAACTATATCGTATTTCTTTGTCTGTTTAAATATTGTCTCCATGCCTTGCAATAGAATATAATGATTTTTTTCATTCTTTTTTTTTTAAACTCCTGTGCCTTGCAGATAGCAGGTACTTAATAAATCCTTACGAATGCTTGTTGGATAGGATTGGAAGCAACCAGATGATCTATAGGAATGAGCTCTTCCCTTATCCCTCATGCTAGCGTCTCAGGGCTTCTGTCTCCCCGACAACTGAGGGCACCTTTCTTGCCTCTTGTTCAGGAGCAAAAATTCTTAGTTGCAATTCTGATTATTGTTGATACAAAGGCCACTTACTAGTGTCCACTTCTGTCACCAAGATCGGTTTGGAGAATTGAATGCGGAATCCCCAAGGATAATCACCAGTTCCTTTGGATATTCTCACAGTCCGTTCCCGAATTATAAGAGAAAGCAAACAGAGAATTATTCTGTTATTCTTTTTGTTCTGAAAAAAGAATGCATCAGACAATTCATATGCACTTCTACGGGATAGGCAACTATACAAAGGGAATTTAGATCTTACTAAAATAAGAAAATGAGGGGCAGCTAGGTTGCACAGTGGATAGAGCAGGCCCTGAAGTCAGGAGGACCTGAGTTCAAATGCTACCTCAGAACAAACACTTGATACTTACTAGCTGTGTGACCCTGGGCAAGTCACCTAACCTCAATTCGCCCCCCCCCCCAAAATAAAATAAAATAGGAAAATGAAATAAAACCTTTGCAACTGAAAAAAAATTATATGAGATCTCATTTAAAGGTTCATAAAAGCTTTCATTGAAGAATTATAACAAACTTTAGGAGGCACAGTTTATAAAAACTACTTTTTATTAGATAAGAAACATACTAACATGCTTCAGAATGGTTAGTATCTTCTATATTAGGCAGAGTAAAATAATATGGATATTACTGGAAGCTGATTTTTTTAGCTTCCTTCTAGATCTAATATTCTATAATTGTCAAATTAATTTATGCACAACAACTAGGTCAACATCTTTTCTGAGGTTTTTTTCTTCTTCTCACATACTCATTGGACAAAAAAATTCAGAGATATAACGTCTAGTCTTGTCACTGTCACTGTAATTTTAGGACCTTGGGAAAATCACTAACCCTCTCTGACTCAATTTCCTATCTGTAAAATGAGAGGGTTGGACTAGATGATCTCAAAGTTCTCTTCAAATTCTAAAAGCCTTTGATATGTCTCTAAATCTTAGGAAATAAATATAATAAAGCCAAACAAGAATTTAGAGTCCAGAAATCAATTCTTGGCCTCCCATGAAACCATCTTAAGAAAGGACCTGGTGAAAAACCAGGAAATTAATCACTCTTACAACACTACTCTATTAAGCAGTGCAAGAATCACTATTATTCATGTTTTTAAGAAGGTAGGAAACATTTGGGATAGCTTGGTGATATGTTGAGTTTTCTTCACCTTCTTGTCATTTTAGATTTCACTCCTTATTTCTTCCAAGATTTGAGATTTCCCCTTTTTTGGGAAGGACATCTCTATTCTCTTAAATGTAAGTGACTTCATCTGCTTCTACTCTTACTCTTTTTTTTTTTTCTGTAGATATTCACTAATTTTTTTTTTAACCAAGTACTCACTGATATGCCATGCATTTCTTATTACTGGGTGCCCTCAGGGATTTCAAAGGGAGTAGTACATAGAATATAGCATCCTGGAAGTAAGAAAGTGTGCTGGACTTGGAGGCAGAAAAGATCTGGCCATTATTCCTGCTATATGACTATATATTTTATAGCTATATATAGCTATATGACTATATGTTTTATCACTTTTAAGATGGAGATTGTAGTACCCAGCTCACAGGATGATTGAAAGGCTCTCACTCCCCCAGAAGCTATTCCATACCTTCTCCTCCTTCAGTAAGCCTCCCACATTGTCCGCTCCAGCCTTACTCTTACCTCTAGCTGAGGATTTTACTTCTTTACTGAGAAAACAGGTCATTCTTCAAAAGCACCCTCTGCTCCAATTGTCTGCATCTCAAAACCACTTGACATCATCCCTCAGCCCCCCTCCTCTACCCCAGGCTCTGGCAATGATGTAGCCCTTCCCTTCGCGAAGTCCAACCCTTCTACAAGTACCATTGATTTCATCCCTTCCAGTCTTCTCCAGTAGATTACAAACTCAATTACCACTTCTTTATCTAAAATCTTCAACATCTTATCTACAGTCTCCTCTACAATCTAAAATGTGCTTGTCACCTCCCTTCTTTAACCTTCACTAGACCCTTCTCTACCATTCCCTCAAGCTATTGTCCTATATCTTTCCTCTTATTCTAAACTCCTAGAAAATGCTGTCAATACTCACTACCTCCACTTCTTTTCCTGTCACTCACTCCTCAACCCTTTGCAGTTTGACCTCTGACCTCCTCACTCAAATGATACTGTTCTCTCCAAAGTTACCAATGAGTTCTTGATGACCAAATTGGATTTTTAAAAAAATCTCTTCCAGTTCTCCTTCTCCTCGATCTATTTGCTGCAGTAGATACTGTTGATGATATTTTCCTTCTAAATACTCTCTCTTTTACGGGTTTTTATGACACTACTTTTTCCTGGTTCTTCTACTTTCTTTCTGATTACTCCTTTCTAGTCTCCTTCACTGGTTTATCATCCATACCATGCCTTCTAACGGTGGCTGTTCCCCAGTACTCTGTTCTAGTTCTTATTTTCTCTTCCCTTCACACTTAATCTCTTGATGACCTCATTTACTCCCATCTGTGAAACTATCATGGCTATGCAGATGACTATATTCTTTCGTGCTCCCTCCCCTGAGCTTCAGCTTTGCATCACTAATTGCTTATTGGACATTTCAAACTGGATGTTCTGGAGATATCTCAAACTTGACAGATTCAAAATAGACCTTATTATCTTTCAATCAATAATCAATTAATAAACATTTGTTAATTGCTTACTATGTGCCAGACACATTGCTAAGCACTGAGGATACAAAAAAATATGTCTGCCCTCAAGGAGCTTGCAATCTAATCTTTCCCTCAAATCCCACCTCTTCCAGACATCCCTATTTCTGTCAAAGGCGTCCTCATTTACCAGGTCTCCCAGGCCGCTAACTTTAGCGTGGTCCTCAATTCTTCTCTCTATTTCACCCCGTATATCCAGTCAGTTGCCAAATCTTGCCCTTCTACCTCCACAATAGCTTTCTTTCACTGCCTTTCACACATTTCCCTCCTTAGTTCAGAGCCTCATCAGCTCTCCCCTGGATTAGTGTAATGGCCTTTTAAATGGACTTTCTGCTTCTGGTTTCTCTCCACTTTAGTCTGTCCTCCACACCATTGGCCAAGTGATTTTCCTTAAGTGCAGATCTGAGCTTGCTACACACCTGTTCAATATACTTGTGTCTCCCTATGGTCTCAAGGGCAAACTTCTCTTCAGCTTTGAAATCTTTACAATCTTATCTCAAACTATCTTTCCAGCCTCATTGTATGTTAGTCCATGTTCCCCACTCTGTGACCCAGCCAAACTAGCCTTCTTTTTATTTCTCACGCACAGTACTCAGTATCCCATATCTGTGCCTCTGTGCTGTCCAAGCTTGGAATGAACTCCCTCCTCACCTGCCTTGTAGAATTCTTCTCTTTCTTCTATCTAGATATAGCTCAATCACCACACTGTACTTGAAGCCTTTCCTGATTCTGCTAGTTCCTTCCCTCCCAAACTACCTTACAAGGTATTTATTTCTATTTATTCTCCTTATATTTATTCTGAATATATTCGTATATGTACTTTTTGTTTCCTCCATTAGAATGCAAGTGCTTTGTGAGTAGAGGCTCTTTCATTCATTTTATTTGTATCACCAGCACCTATCAAAGTTCGGGCACATGAGAACTAATTAAATACAAGTTGTTGATAGAAGTTTTTTTGAGGTAAGTAATCATTTTTATTATGCTAAACCAAGGAGGCGAACAACACATCTGCCTGGGGTATTACAGATAATCAGTAGTACAACCAATCTTGAATTGAACTTGGTCAGAAAGTGCTTTTTTTTTTTTAATATCTACAAGGGCTTTTTTTTTTTTAATATCTACAGTTTTCTGGAAATAAAGAAATAAAATCCTCAAATGAAGACCTGAAACACCCATCTCCATACCTGAAGATATGCTGCAACATAACAGCAGCAGTTAGGTAAATAAAATAAGACAGCAAAGATCATTTTTTATTTATTTCTTTTTGTCTAGGCAATGGGGTTAAGTAACTTGCCCAAGGTCATACAGCTAGTAAGTGTTATGTGTCTGAGACCGTATTTGAACTCAGGTCCTCCTGAATCCAGGGCTGGTACTGTATCCACTGCGCCACCTAGCTGCCCCAAAGATCATTTTTCCTATAAACAAATTAACTTTAACTTTGCAAAATTATCGGGGAAAAAAATATATAGTGATTCTAATGTTGATATCAGTCAATTCAATACCAGAAGAATCATGGTTAAGTTATGGAAAAGAAATGAGCCAAGGTCTCCTGCTTGTTCTCCAAGGTCTGTTCGGTACTAATGTTTTGTGTTCAATGCTATGCTTTTGAAAAGGCTGGAATTACTGACTTTTCTTCTGTGTACCATTAACCAGTCATTTTTGCACGACTTTCCCTGGACTTCCATGGATTTAATTTCAGTTTAATTTAAGAGATGAGGTGAGAAACTCAAGGACTTACAGACAAAGATTTTAACTGATGGTTATTGGCTGAAAAGTAATCAGGATGAGGAAAAAATAGAAAACTGCTCTCTGACTAACCATAGAATTCATGCAAATTACAAATCAAAACTTCCCACTCTCTCCAATTTGCTCTTCATAATACCTCTTGCTTTTGACAGATTGATTGTCCAACAGATATCTGGTAATGGTCCCTTTTTAGTGTGCTATTCAAATCAAAGTATGATTGTTTTGTTTTGTTTCTCTACTATGGGACGGTTAAAATAGCAATTGCTTTCAAGGTTGCTCTGCAATCAGGCAAACTGACTGTCAGTAGTACTTGTTAAAGTATAGGTATTTCAATAAAGACTTTAAATGGTCCGCTCAACTTTAGCACCCTCCTTTGGGAGAAGAGGCAATCAAAATACTTTGCAACATGTTCCTCCTTACATTTTGATGGCAGTTTTCACATATTTTGAGATTTATAGTCCTGGCTCCCCTTTGCTACCATCTGGTAAATAACCTCTGATTGCCAGCAGTTTGCTAAAAAAACTATAGCACAAACTATGTATATTAATTTTCAAATAATCTATCTCTATAAATAATACTTCCTTTGGGACTATCTGATTATCAGAGACAAACATTTACAAGGAGAGTAAATGTTTCCATATACACATGAAAATGCTTCCACTTGAAAATATACCAAGCTTTGTTTTTCTCCTACAGCTTCACATAGCTTGTTGCTGATAGTAAAGCATAACTGTTTTCTCGTTTTCTTGAGAATAACATTTTAGAGTTCCGTCTTAAGACAGATCAACCAGGATCTGGACAAGATCACAGAGACTGTTTAATCCAAGATCCCTATTTTACAAATGAGAAAACTAAAGCTCAGAGAGGTTAGTGACTTGCCTAAAGTCTTTTGACTCAAAGCCAGTTGTCTTTCTTGTATCCTGTTCTGACAATGAGTCTTGTCCTGGACTAGAAAATGGCCTACCCGGAATGGTGTCAGGGCTATAAGGAATAACTCAAGCCCAAAGAAATTCTTCTCTCTTCACCAGTTGATGTCTCAAATCTCACCATTAGAATTTGCTTCTGTAGATCTGACTCCCATTAAAAGGCCAACATTCTACAAAGGGGTAACCCTTTTGATTATCAGCCATTTAAACCTAGTGTGGTTTACTAAAATGGATGTGTCATCTAGGAAGAGAAAGGAACAACAGATAGAAAGCCCAAGTACTACACTGCTATCTACTAGTGTGCTAAGAAAAATATCTGTCTAGGTTATTGCCATATAGACTAGGTTAGGGCTTGTTTGTTTGTATTGTTTTTTTCCTAAAAGTCAAGAATGATCTCCTTGACAATTGATTACCCTAGGAAACTAAGGCTAAACCCCATTGATGGTGGTTCCTGGTAAATTAGAGGCATAAAAAAAGGACAGTAGCAGTGCCCGTCAAGCTTGGCTAGATGTTCCATGACCGTGTGATTCATCACAGCCTGACTTTCTGACCAGATGTGTTTCTGTATAAACATCAGGGATACCATGTCTATCTTTGCTCCAGTGTGGTATCCTTCCTAAGTATCTTTTCCATGTGATATCTAAGGAAACCTTTTTGCTAACTGTTTAATGATCTAAGAGTCTCCTTTCATTCCAGTTTCAAATAAAAACTACTACACTGGCCTGAGTCTGGCCTAGCCTACAACAACTGCTATGTTAAAAGACTTCTAGGGACAGCAGGGTGGAAAAAGGGATAGAGCTCTAGTCTTGGAGTCAGGAGGACCTGAGTTCAAATCTGGCCTCAGACACTAGCTGTGTGACCCTGGGCAAGTCACTTAACCCCATTACCTATCCCCCCTCATAACAAAAAAAAAAAAAGACTTCTAGAAAGAATTCCATATCAGATAGGTTTTCAATGACAAGGACAAAATATTTTCACCTCCTAATAACAACCCACTTTTAGCCCCCATCATGAAATCCTCCTTTGGAAGAAAGGAAAACAGGTAACCAAAACAACTGATACAATGACCATGTCTGACCATTTTGTTCTGCAACTCTCTACCAAGCGGATGGAGGTTTGCTTCATTATCAGTCCTCTGGAGTCGAGATCACCACAATGTCCAACACTTACCAGCTACTGGTTGGGGTTTTTTACTAAGACATCTAGGACTATTTTCAGGATTTTCATCATCTCCTCTGAAAACCCATGATGCCGAATGAAAATTCTCAGTGTAGAATCCTTTCTCCTCAATTTCATTTCGCATACCAAGATCCACTGAGTGACCATCCTCTGAAGTAACTGAGAAGTAGAAAAATTTATAATTAGATTAATTAATTAATTAAAATGTAATAATTAGATCAACATGAAAAAATAGGAAGCATGAAAAATTCAAGGGCAGAAAGCAGTCAATGAGTCCAGTGCTGTAGCCTGGTGGAATCAATAAGTAAGTATGCACTTATTAAGTGTCAGGTACTGTGCTGTGTGCAGAAAACACAAAGGAAAAAGTGAAACAGTACTTGTTCTCAAGAAGCTTACATTCTAGTGTGGAAGAAAATGTGTGTATGATATGTTTAGCTGTATACAAAAGATACAAGGTAATTTTTAGGGGAGCAGGAAAACTTTCATGTAGAGGAAGGCACTTGAATTGAGTCTTGAAGGAAACTAGGGATTATAAAAGGTGTGAATGAAAAGAAAGTGCATTCCACGTGAAGTGGAAATAGGTGAGGGGATGTTGTGTGAGAGGAAGAGAATCCTAGTTTAACTAGATCATAAAGTGGGTGAATTAATCAACACCACGTCATCAGTAAAAGACAATACATAATAAGGCTGGAAAGATAGGTAGGAGTCAAGGTGTAACAGGCTTAAAATGCTAAGCAGACAGCTTCATATTGGATCCTAGAGGCAATAGGAATCATTAGAATTTATTGGGGGCAGCTAGGTGGCACAGTGGATAGAGCACTGGGCCTGGAGTCAGAAAGAATTGAGTTCAAATCCAGTCTCAGACACTTACTAGCTGTGTGACCCTGGGTAAGTCACTTAACCCTGTTTGCCTCAGTCTCCTCATCTATAAAATAAGTTAGAGAAGGAAATGGCAAACCATTCTAGCATCTCTGCCAAGAAAACCTGAAATGGGGTCACAAAGAGTCAGACAAGACTCAAGAAGAACAGAATTCATTGAGTGGAGGAGTGACATAGTTAGATCTGTCCTTGATGAAAATCATGTTGGCAATTGTGTGGACAATGGATTGTAGTAAGGAGAGCTACAAGGCAGGGATACCAATTAGAAAGCTCTTCAATAGTCTGGTTAAAAATGAATGAGGTATGAACAAGTACGGTGGCCGTGTGAATGGGGAGAAGGCAAAAGATGTGGTGGTGGTAGAAACAAGATCTGACAATTAATTAGATATACGATGTGAGGTACCTTGATAACCTTGATACATGGATTGGAAACACCTTGTGAAAGAGCCTGTAAGGTGGTATGAGCCGAATGCTTTTTCAAAATCACCAAATAATAAGCACAATAATGGAATTTTATATTTTCTACATCATTCAGTCAATTGAACAGTGTTAAAGACGTGGTTTATCCCTGACTAGCATTTGTGAACACTTAATTTTCCCTGACTAAAACGTTCACTGAGGAAGCTCTCAGTTCATGTAGAGGTAACTCATAAAGATTTTGTATAGTGGGATAGGTTGATAGCTATCAATTTTTTCTTGGTTACTTTTTTGGCATCAATAAGGCCCAAGATTTACCCTCCACTGCTTCTCTCTGCTTAATGAAATGATGCAGCTTTGTAAGATTTTACAAACAAGTATATATCTCAGTATTGCCTGCAGGATATGCAGGTTCAAAACGTCTAATAAGTCATTAGTGATGTGGGACTGAGGCTCAGGAGAGAAAAGGGCTAAATATATCAATGTAAGAGTCAGCAGGACTCATATTAGAGGGGATAATTAGCTCATGAAAGCTCATAAGGTCACCAAGAAAGGGAATATACAGAGAAAGGAAATGAGGGCCCTGAATGAGATTTGCCCTTCAGAATATTATACATTACTTCTCTTTCAGCATTACAACAGTTCAGACAAATTGTCCTTCTCTCTGTTCCTGACATTCAGAACTCCATCTCCCATTTCCCTGTCTTTGTACTGAGGCCAAAGCCTATGATGTACCACCCTCTCCTCATCAGGCAGGCCTTACCTCCCCCTCTGGGTTATAAGGTATTCTGAGAGTTTTGTGCATTCTTTTTTCCCTCTACTGCCATCAGCTTGAGCCTCCACCATCTTTTATCCCTCTTCTTAGGAGGCTAGTGACCAGCACCCAAGTTCCATTTAACATTAATTAGATTTTACACTGAGATATTTTCCTCAAAGTTATAGCAAAAACAAAATATAAACATTTCCTCTAATACTTTTAAGGAATCATACTATCTCCTCTACTACCTTGGTCTCTGGGGGAAAAGGTTCAAAACTTATCTCAGTTTCCATATGGTATCAGTCCCTCCCCAATCATGTCCCACTGCAGCACAATTTCTGGATGATCCCAAGTTTCATATACCACTGGGTCCTAAAATTCAGGCCTTTGATCCTAAGGACCACTGATGCTAGACTATGACTCCCAAATTCCTGTAATTTATTCTCTTGGCCTTTCTAAACTCCCAAGATTGTCATGGTCTCTCACCAGACACTGTGATCTAAGGAATGACCAAATGAAGCCAAAAGAGAGAGAGGCAAAAGAAGAAATAAAGGGGAGCTGAAACTGACAGGACATTTTGAATGCCTCTGCAGTCCACTGGCCTCCTCTTCTACCTGTGGTTAGCTGACCACAACTAGTTACAGAATGTATATGAATGGTACTTTCTTTATACATCATCATGATTATCCCAGAAACAGGCTCCCCAGCTTATCCATATGGAGAAACACCATTCCAGGCACTCTGCACATGCGCCACACCCCATTACAAAAATAAGAGGCAAAGTCCTCAGCTGAGAGAGTGGTTAAGAGGCTTAAGGAGTGAAGAGAAGGTTTAGAAGACATACTGTGGGGAGCGGGATACAGAATTAATGAAAAGGAATAAAAAAAATGCCTTGATGCAGTGAGAGTCCAACTGAGATTAGATTAATTGAGATTTATAATAGATTCAGTTAGGATACTTATACAACTTTCTACAGCTCTGTTGAATAGCATATGAGTGGGAGCAGGTGGATTAAAGGGTTTCATTTTGAGTAATAACTAGCTAGATTTGATAGGCCAGCTGCTAGAAATGAGAACTGACAACGTTCAGAGGTACCATAAATGAAACCGATGGATCTTTATGGAGTGTCTTCTACGTGCAAGGTATTGTGCTAGGGACTGGACCATAAATCCACTTAGAGACATCATACGAAATAATTTTCTATGAAATAGAAATGATGCTATTTGGAGCTCGAAGGAAATAAGATAAAATGTGAAATTCAATTTTAAATTGTCTCTAAAATAATCAAAAGGGATAAAAAAACAGATGAACTTGGTTGTCAGTTATTAAAAAACATCTTCAATGTCATTCAGGTTCTTACAGAAGAAGATGTAAGAAAATTCTGTGTGAGGCGGAATAGAGTGGACAAGGAGAGGGCAAAAATGATTACCATCTTAAAGGAGCACCATGCTGAGAAGTTTACACAATTTCATCTAGTAGTTTCTTTGCTGACACTGAGAAGCTTTACAATAAGATGCTTCTCTGATGTTTTGGAAGAACCTGTTCACCATGCCAGGGGAGTGTGTTTTTATTGCCAGGTGTGAGTTTATGGTTCCTTCTATATTGACCAATAAAGCAGCATTTTTGTGACAGTACAGAAATAGAAAAATATTGAATATTGAAAGACAAAAGATTCTAGTGATTGATAAAAATCTCCAAGATAGCATTAAAAAAATGTTGTTGAAGCTTCTTAGCTTGCCACAAAATTGGTAACTAATAATAATAGTCAACTTTTATACAGCACTTACCATGTGCCAGGCACTGTGCTTAAGTGTTTCATAATTATTATCTCATTTGATTCTCACAACAACCTGGGAGACAGGCATTACTTTTCCCATTTACAGATGAGGAAACTGAGGCAAACAGAGGTTAAATGACTTGCCCAGGGTCACACAGCTTAATAAGTCTCTGAGGTCAGATTTGAACTTATGTCTTCCTAACTTTAGGTCAAGTGCTCTATTCACTGTACTACCTAGATGCCTATGGTGTAGCTGACTACACTAGTTATTTGATTATTAATCTGTATTCTGAGATGATTCATATTCACTTATTAAAATAATATTTATTGAGAAAATTCTACATGAAACACACTATGCTAGGTGCTTTGTGAGATGAATATCATTTAAGGTTTACAAAGTGTTTTACAAATATTATCTCATTTTATCCTTACAACAACTCTGGGAAAGGTGCTATTATCCCCATTTTACAGAAGAAAACTGAGGTAGATGGAGGTTAAGCGATTTGACAAGGTTCATACAACTAATAAATATCTGAAGGTAGATTTGAACTCTAGTTTTCCTGACTTCAGGTCCAGAGCTCTATGTATTGTGCCACCTAGCTACTTCTAGCTCCTGACTTTCAGAAGCCTTTAGTCTAGAACAGAAAATAATGAACAACAATAAAACAAGAGTGACCATGATGAATGAAAGAAAAGTCACAAATGAAGTAAAATGGCATTTCAGAAACAACTTCTAGAGGGAGCAGGGAAGGCTTCATGCAAAAACTAGGCCTTAAAAGATGGGTTGAATTTTGACATATGCCATCTGGAAAAATCAGGGTGCGAGAAAGTGCGGTTGACCAGGGAGATTGGATTCAAACTGTGCATGCCCCTGAAGGCTAAGTTTAAACTTTTCAGCACACAACTGATGAGAAGAGTTAGATGATCTGGGGAAAATTACTGTGGCTGATTAGAGCAAGGAGACCGTGGGGTTTGGAAGGGAAATGATTGAGGAGGCCGTGTCAATTGTCTAGATGAGAAATTACTGAGACCTTGTGGAAATGAAAAGTGGGAGTGAAAATGAGAGATTTCAAGTATTCTTATAGTTACAGAAAACATGTCATTATGGAAGTGTCATCACAATTACCGGCCTTCAGACTGCATGGATTCTTCTTGCATCATTAAGTACAAAATGTCTCTAATTTTCTCTCCAAATTTTAGACAGGAATAAATTCAATCTATCAATAGTCTTCTCTAAATTCCTCAGTCTGATGGTCTTTCCTCGGTTCTCATCCTTTATCTCTCTGTTGCATTTGACACTCCTCACCACCCTCTTCTCCTGCATAGTCT